AGTCTAAAAAGTTGAATTAAGTAGAAACCATTAAGAAAAAAATCCATTCTAGCCAAAAGATGAGTCATGACTTTCATGCATATTACATGACTTTTCATTAGCAAAATTAAAAATAGCTACTGTAGACCATTTGTGTGATAGATCATTTTATACTATAAAGTTGGAAATGCTGCTTTTTTTACTTTTTGGTTGAAATTAAGTGTTCTTTAAATAGAAAGGGAAAAAGTTACTAAAACAGACAATCATCAATGAGGAATGACTATAACCTCTAGTAGGGATCCAACATTAGATCCTTTCAACTTTATCTACTTAGCAACTACTGAATCCCTTAGAGGGTGTAAAGATGGGAGGCAGAATGGGAAACTGGAAAGAAAACCGTCTCCCAGGACTTGACTATTTTAATGTTAGCACTGCTACAAAGCTAGCTGTGTGACCTTGGGCAAACTACTTAACTTCATTAAGCCTCAGTTTTCTTTTTGTAAAATGTAGATACCACCTCCTAGTTCATAGGGCGATAGAAGCAAAGAAAGGACATCACACATGTAGTACTTCTAACAGTAGCCCGCACAAAGAAAGCATGTAATGAATGGCAGTTATGGTCTTCATTGCCATCATCATCATCATCATTTCCATCATTATCTTCATCATGCTTAAGGCTCAGAGTACTGTGTACAACTTTCAGTGCAACTGGATGCATACACAAATAATCACCACAGAACATATTTGTAACTTAAGTGCTAAAAAAGAGATACAGAGAGTACTACAGGACAAGAGAACTCAAGGTCCTCGATATGGCTCTTGCTGACTTACCTTTATCTCTGGCCTTTTCCCACCAAACTATAGGTATAATGAATGACTAAAATTCCCTGAATACACCATATTTTCATTTATCTAGGCTTTTGCACACATACTTTGTTATTAGTGGTAGTTATGTTCTAGAAAAGTTGCAGTATTGGTGAATACTGAACCATTGCTCCTAGGGGAAATACAAGGTTGGGTTCCTGCAAGCCCTCTGGTCACAACATTTTCAACTTATCAATATAATACATAACCTTGTTGTATGTGTGTTTAAAGAAATCTTATTTAATGCATATTGTCGATTCATTAACATTGAACTTACAGCAAGCAGCACTATAACTCATGCCCAAAAGCAGCTTATCTAACACAAACAAGTATTTTCTCCATAAGGCACATCGCAGTCTCCTTGCACTTAGAAACACTAGACAGCACTTTAGCACTATATCTGGGGGAAATTTTAAACAGTGAAGTTACCAAAAACCACAAAAATGTGAAAAATGTGGCACTAAATATACAGCAAAAAAGGCACTTGTTTATAGTATGAGAACTGAGACAAGAAGGCAACATGCTGTCTTGTTTGCCCTCAGCAGTAAACGTGCGTGCGTGTTGGGTGACTCAAATTTTTCCCAGCTGTGTATGTGTGGGTGAATGACAGCAAAGGTGTCACAGATATAGATTTTGGGGTTACAAATAAATTTTAGTGACTAGGCAAATTAGCAAATATGGAATTCACAAATTATGAGGATCAACTGTACTAATGTTTTACCTAGAATACCTTTCTCTCCTTCTGCAGAATTCACCTGGCTGACTCATATTTACACTTCAGGACTCAATTCAAGGTCTTTGGGAAACCTCTCCTGACCCTAGTCTGGGTTAGATACATACTTAAAAATGCCCTCACAGTACTCATTTGGACCCATTTCTTATTGCTTCTCAGGCTGTTTTACAATTGTTTACTTTTCCATCTCCTCCATTTGACTGTAAGATCCTTGAGAGAAGGAATCACATATTTTTTGGTTTTGAATCTACTATGGTTTGTATGTTTGTGTCTCCCTAAAATTTGTATGTTGAAATCTAATCTCCAATGTGGTGGTATTAAGAGGTGGAGCCTTTGAGAGGTGATTTGGGAGAGCTTTGTCTTCATGAATGGGATTTGTGCCCTTATAAAAGAGGTCCGAGGAAGCTTGTTTGTCCCTTTGCCATGTAGGGACACAACAAGAAGACACCATGTATGAAGAAGAGAGCAGGCCTCACCAGACATCAAGTCTGCCGGTGCCTTCATCTTGGACTTCCCAGCTTCCAGGACTGTTAGCAGTATATTTCTGTTGTTTATAAGCTACCTAGTCTAAGGTATTTTGCTATAGCAGCCAGAATGGACTAAGACAGAATTCCAGGCCTAGCTCCATAAGAGCAACTCAGTAAACATTTGTTGAATTAATGGTTTTCAAAGAACAGTGAGGAGACTCCCTACAACGGTGGAGAGGGAATGGGTGTAAAATCAGAGGTTTCATGAACAAAACAGAAAAGTAAATGAGATTTCAACTATTAAAGATTTTTCAGGGCCGGCCCGGTGGCGCACTGCTATAGTGCGCCGCTTGGGAAGCATGGCGGTGCTCCCGCCGAGGGTTCGGATCCCACATACGGACCGGTTCCCGCTCACTGGCTGGGCGAGGCGCGGGAGCAACGCCGAGGGCTGCGATCCCGTTGCCGGTCTCGGTCCGGTACGGGGCGACACTGAGGGTTGCGATCCGTTGCCGGACACGGAAAAAGTCAAAAAGACAAAAAAAAATAATAATAATAATGTCATGTATATCAAAAGCCGTTAAAATATGTGTTTTCATTTCTAGAAACTTCTAGAAACTTCTCCTAACATAGCAATTCAAAAGGTTATTTACCTAAAATTTGTTATACTGTACGAGTGTCAAAAGAGCATAAATGTTGAACAATAGCAGAAACACCCAGTTTTTATCATTCAACTCAATGAGATACCAAGGCCCCGGGTTCGGATCCCACATAGGGATGGCCGGTTCGCTCACTGGCTGAGCGTGGTGCTGACAACACCAAGTCAAGGGTTAAGATCCCCTTACCGGTCATCTTTTTAAAAAAAAAAAAGATTTTTCAGGGCTGGCCCATGGCTTACTCAGGAGAGTGTGGTGCTGATAACACCAAGGCTATGGGTTTGGATCCCTATAAAGGGATGGCCGGTTAGCTCATTTCGGAGAGTGTGGTGCTGACAACACCAAGTCAGGGGTTGAGATCCCCTTACTGGTCATCTTTATATAAGGATTTATTTATATATATATATATATAAAAAGATTTTTCAAGGCAAAATAAGAAAACCACTCAGAGATGCTGAGCTCCCTTTGGAAAAAGCATAAACCTCTGCTTTACCATCACCTGTCCTTTGGGCCTATGCCAGCAAAGAATTCCCCTGCATCAGTCAGTCCCAGCATCTTTGAAGGCATACTGAAGCTAAATTGGAGAGGGTTTCAGTTCACTCTCTCCCAGTTTCATATATGAAGCCCTAAGACTGAAGTAAGCTTTCTTGTATACTTGCCATCCCAGGTACTTCTTGCATTAAAAATAACAACCAGGCCAAGAATAAGAATGATTCTTTTGTATTCAGATTCCTGGTTAAAGAGGACTCGGAAACAAAAACATATACCAAAGATTTGAAAATCTATGTGTCTTCTCACACCAACTACCAATTTCCTCTTTGACTCTTTTCATAATGTCAGTATGTAAGAAGGAGATGGGAAATAGAGAGCTGACATTGCCTCTTTGTGCTGCATAACCTCATCTTTGACTCAGAATGGTAAATTCCACGACTGGCTACTTATATGGAATCCATGGTTTGCCCCAGGAAAGATGCTAATCATCTCAGTATTTCAGTGTGGTCTACTTTCACCTGATGTAACCTCTGGCCAAACAGTTTATTTGATGTGTGAATGTAAGCAAGGCCACAGTTTATATACTATTCTTTTTGCCAGAAAGGAGAGCATATTTGGTCTTCCATAATTACTGAGAATCCAAGCATAAATGACAACTAGTAAATACTAGGTGCTGCAACCCAGCAATTATTTCACAAGTAATTTTAAAATACGAAGTAGAACTGAATAGAAAATATCATAAGGCATCTTACATATTAAAGGTGAGATATTATTTTCAGAAACTTTTATTTCAGTTACATATAGGCATATATGTGTTTACTGGATAACAATGTAAACATTTCTTATTGTGGGTTCCAGGCAAAAGTTCTGAAGCCACTGCCCGGGCCATGGATCTTTGGTCGTAAGTGCTGAATTGCCCTACTCCTGAACTACTGCTAAGAAAGAACTACTTTCTTCTATCACTAGCTCATTCTCAACTTTGTGACTACATTCTGAAGAGACTACCCTCTTAGCCCTAATAAGAGTGACATATCTCTATTTTTAAGCATTTTGCATATGTACCATTCATTTGGTACTTGAGTTTTCTTTTCAATACAGATATCTTTCCTAACTAAACTAGAAAAACTGAGGACAGGGGCTATAGTTACCCAGTGACAACTACCGCACCCTTATAAATAGAAGATGCTTGATCAAAATCTTTAGAATAAGCCCTTTTTATTTGGCAGAGACCGTCTTTTGGAATCAATGCCTACTGAGCTCTGGCCAATTTAGGGACTGGAAAAGTTTATGCTCTAGGCTTGCCTGCCTGGCCAAGATATTTAACCAACTCCACCACCTGCTCTAAGCTATTCTAGAATGACTATCATTTGCTGTTGATGGTTTTCAGATTTGTTTTAGCATAGTATACAACACTACATCCCAAGGGTCCATTTGTATGTTTATAAGCTCTATTAAACAAAATAAGCTCTCATTATCTAACAAAAATAGGCTATTCATTTTTCGTGGGGGTTAGATAATACTTCTTTTTGATACCTACATTGCTCCATAGGTGAAGCTGACTTGAGAATTTCTAACTCCCTCTAAATTGCTCTGCTCTGTTCCTTTGCAGAAAGGGTTAACATTTTAAATATTTGGTAAATGCATAACTATTATCTATTTTACCTGACTTTAACATGTTGAAATCATGCTATGCAAAACTCCATTTCAAAAAATCAATCTGAAGTGAATTCCCTATACCTACAAATTCATACTAAACAACCAACCAACCAAATATTCATAGCTTACACAGAAATAAAATCATACTTTTGCTACCTGCTTATTCATTTCTGTGATGTTTATCCAGATTTTGTTCAAGCCCAGCTCTCCAGATTCAATCTTCTCAAGTTGTTTTTGTTTGCTGAGTAGTTCTTCATTAAGTCTTGGGATTTCTTGGAATGAGCTTTTCTGATTAGATTCCACTAAAAGCAAAAATAATAATAATCATAAATAGCCATAAAATTCCCTCATGGCCCCAAGATGAAAAAATAATTATACACAGTAGGAAAGAAAAAGGATTAATAAGAATTCCACATGATAATAAATAAATTAATATTTATCAACTACAAACTGTTCTTTTACTTATGTAAATGTATATCTTGAACACTAAAGAGCCATTTTAACTGGGGCTATTTTACTACTGGCAATACAACTTAAAAGTCAGGTGACTAAAAATTATAACAAAGAACATGAGCAGAAAGAGTTGAATTTGAATCTGAACTCCCTAACTTACTATGATCTTGAGCAAACACTCAAATTCTTTGACAAAATACACTTCACAGAATTGTTAGAATTAAGTGAAAGAATGGTTGTAAAGCACTTACTTAGCATAGTTGGCCAGGCATATAATAAGTGCTAAATAAATGAGCTGACCAGCTCAATTAAAGAGCTTTTTGATTAGTCAATGAAGATTTATCAGCCTTATTCCATTAATGCTCAATGTGACATTATAAGTTATATTTCTAGATGCTTAAATCTATTTTTGTACCTTAAATTGGTCAACTGTAAGATGGTGTCTTACCACCTTTCAAATACTATTATGAGGACTAAGACTTTTAATTTTTTTCATAAATAGCAAACACTGTTCTCTTAAATCTTAAGTCAATCTGAAAGTTCAACACAAAATAGAAGATAAAGAAACAGGCTAGTGATGGGTGATATTTAGCCTTTTCTTTGAGAAACACTGTCTCCTGAATGGTTTACAGATTTGCCAGCATGAAGGCAGAGGCCTGAAAGAGTGCTTTCTCTTCTTTCCTTAAAGAATATTTTTCCGGGCCGAGCCTGTGGTGCACTCGGGAGAGTGCGGCGCTGGGAGCTCAGTAGCACTCCCACCGCGGGTTTGGATCCTATATAGGGATGGCCGGAATGTAGTTGGGAGGTAAGCAAAGGCCAGATTTATTCAGGTAATAAATATTTACAGACTGCCCAGCATGTGCCAAGTATATTCTAAGTGCTGACCATACGGAAATGATCAAAACAAAGTCTTGGAGCTTACATATTAGTAAATTGTTTTATATCAGTCCTTTATAGCCAGGTTTTGGTTTTAAAGAAAACATATAACTAGTAACGTAGTCTGTGGCTTTTAAAAACTGATGTAGGTTTTATTCTGGAGAGCCAGCCATTATCAATATTTTAAAAAAAAAAAAAAAAAAAAAAAAATATATATATATATTTTTTTTTCCTTCTCATGGAAAATAAAATATTGATAATGGCTGGCTCTCCAGAATAAAACCTACATCAGTTTTTAAAAGCCACAGACTACGTTACTAGTTATATGTTTTCTTTAAAACCAAAACCTGGCTATAAAGGACTGATATAAAACAATTTACTAATATGTAAGCTCCAAGACTTTGTTTTGATCATTTCCGTATGGTCAGCACTTAGAATATACTTGGCACATGCTGGGCAGTCTGTAAATATTTATTACCTGAATAAATCTGGCCTTTGCTTACCTCCCAACTACATTCCTCATCATTTTACCTATCTCTTCAATCTAGCAAAGAAAATTCAAGAAATAAGAAATCCAAACAAACACACTTAACAACAAAAACCACTCTCAAAATTGGGGGTGGTGGTGGTATCTTTATTTCAAGTAAGCCTATCTGAAAATTCAGAATAGTTAAAATAAATTAGATATATTCATTTTCCAAAAATATTTGCCAAAGAATTTCATTATAAACAACAGACTTCCCTAAGTGGTTTTAATGTAGCATTTGATTTAAACATGGTTTGCAGAATACATCCATCTCATACAGTAAGGACATTCTACCACTCACTCTAACCTTATGTAGCTCTTAGCATTTCAGTGAATTACTTATACCTGTTCAGTTAGGTTGTAAAGAAAAACCCATCCCACGAATGTCTGCCATATTCAGGTGGTCAAACATCCGAAGTGGGGGAGGGTTCTCTCTTTCCTGCAGTCTATGTGCATTAAGTGGGAGGTAGAAGTGGAAGAATAAATAAGACACATAAACAACCTGGGTTACAATTATTCACTAATAAATATATAAAGCTGACAAGTCCTGAAAACACTCTGGATCCTAAGGATTGTATGAGCCCAGAGGGTATCATAAACATTACCTGATTTGGGGCTTTTTAGGAGAGACATGCCAAATAGAGGTAATTTTATTACATAAATGGAAGGAAGTGTAGCAAACAACTTATGATTACTAATTCATGTTCTTTCAACATGGAAAGCAACTCATTTAAAATTTACTAAGTTAATTCTCAAAAGAATTTACTTAGTTCTTTTGATTTCCTAATCATTAAGATCAGGAAATGGAAATTTCTGCATATACCCTTCAAACAGAATATTTTATATAAATATATAAATGTATAAAATACCTTATAAAATATTTTATATAAATATAAAATAATGCTAATAGCAATGTTTTATTCTTATACAATATCTTTACAGTTTGCAATGAGCTTTTACATAACTATTATTCAACAACTTGTTATCGAGCCCCTACCATGTGCCCAGCCCTGCCCTTGGCACCAGTATATACAAAAGACCCTGAAACTCTCAGTCTAGTGGGGAGCGAGGCATGACCACAGCATTACTATACAGTGTAACAGATATAATAGGCGAATGCCCAAAGTGCTTTGGTAGCACAAATACAACTTTATGTTTTATGGATGTCTTGGTAGGGCTAGGGCTCACAGACCCTTCAAACCTGCTGTACAGACTGGGCCACCAGACCCCTCACATACAGGTCCACGAGCTAGGTAATTGGGAAAGATCCCGGGAGCTGTGTTGTGAGGACAGGAGCTCAGTCCTCAGTTTCCTCAGCAGTGGCGGCGGCAGCAGCAGCTTACAAGAGCCTCCAGCAGCAATAGAGATGGCCTTCCGGAGCATCCCGGGGGCCCTGACAGCAACAACTTGCAGCAACAGCCTCCAGCTGCAGTAGTGACCTCTCGGTGCCGCGATCTCCCTCATTGTCCCACCCCCCACCAGGGGGCCCTGTGGATCAGAGCTGCTTGTCCTTTATACTTAAGTCCGATAACCCAGGACACCTGGGTGCACATGTGCAATTACATTAGACAATAACCAAGGAATACCTGGGCGCACGTGCATATTTACATCAAATGCTCAGCAAGATTCTGAACATCTGAGAGGCCCTGACCATTTTCCTATATTTTCCCTAAAATGAATAAAAAAAATTAAGGCTCAGAAAGAATAAGTGACTTGTCCAAATTTTACAGCTAGTAATGAGAAGCCAGGATTCAAACAGTCAAACCTTTTGTTCCTAGGACCAGTACTCTTTCTAGTATACTCCAGATGTCACAGACACTTACTTCCTAATGTCCTCACCAGCACAAGACTATTTTAAAGTTCTTTTTATTTTTTTATTGAAACATAGTTGATTGTACATATCTGTGGGGTACAGAGTTGAATATCAATACCTGAGTGCAATATGTGATGCTCAAATCAGGATAATTAGTACATTCAACATTATACAATGTAATCGTTTTTTGTGGCCCTTCACCAATTTTTAAGTTAGTAAATGACCAAACCATTACTTTGACTGTATGGCCAGAAAAGAAGATGCCTGACTTATTAATACCTTCCTTTTCTTCCAAATTCTTTTCCTTTACTCTAGCGTTTCATAGCTGAGTGACAGAGAGGGATGGTTGGGAATAGAATCTTCCATAGCATAACTGTGGAGGTCTTTTGAAGTATCAAGTTCTGGAACAAGAATCCTGAAATAAGAGTTTCAAGGCCAGCTTAAGGATCAAGTTATTCCCAGACCATCAAAAAAAAAAAAAAAAAAAAAAAAAAAAAAAAAAAAAGCCACGCCTATTTGTTTTGCTTTCTATTTCAGATATTTTAAGCAATCTCTCTTCCTTTCTTCATGAGTATCCTGGTAAATTCACCGAAATAAAGAACAAAGGGCTCTGAATTTCTCAAAAAAGTATTAAAGCCAGACAAGCAGATGGTCTTATTTGAGTCAAAGAATTCCACTGTCATCTTGAAAAACAATAAATTAACTTATTGAAATGTACTAACGTAGTAGGACAATTCAAAGAAAGATTATTTAAGCTTAACAAGATTGACCCCATTTAGTTAAGATACTGGTTTTCACAAAAAACTCTTGGGCAATAGTCCACAATGGTTCATCCTATGGACTGACTGCCCCAGGACCTATTGCCTACCCTCCCTTAGGAAGTCCTGCTTTGAGACATTACAGGTGCTGGCATTTCTATTGTAGCAAATCAAAGCAAATAAAACAGCTGGGTCAACAATTCCAAATCTGCTTCATTCAGCTGGCTGAAAAATGTAGTCAGAGTACTAGAGGAATGTTGCTCAGTGGCAGAAAGCAGGCCTCATGGTCCAGAGGGTCCAGAGTATAATTCCTGGTATCTCCTGAATACAGTATTTCCAGGGATTGGTATTAACAAGTGCTCAATAAATATTTGTTGACTGATTGGTTGCCAGGTCTATTACATGTACTACATTTTAAATATGTTATTTCCAAACAAATAAATTTCCTGAAAAGCTCAGCTAGGTATAAATTACATGGGTATCCTGTAAACATAGGCACAGAGCAATCAGAGAAAGGAATCCCTGGAGAGCAGAATTGAGCAGTGTTTTGAAATTCATAAATAAATAATTGCTATGTGATCAAAAAAAGCTCTAGCATAAGCCTAGGAGCCCAACTAATTACGGAGAAATGATGGCAAAGACAGGTGTCTTCAGTGGTTATTTATGGTTAAACATGGTTTCTGAGAAACCTCATTTTCAAGTTATGATTACTGCTTAGATACAAAGGAAACACTGGCCTTAAAAACACCTTGCAGTACTTCAAGGACAACCATGAAAGAGGAAAAATAACTAGAGTACAAATTCATTCTTTCTTATACTGTACTTTGATTCAACTGGTTGATAAAACATATAGATCAGGATGATTCTGACAGAGAAGCATGGCTTACCCAATCCTATTCCCTGAATCAGAAACTCAGAAGAAAACCAAAACTTTTTTCAAGCAACATCACTAAGAATGTCATTCACACACTAAGGATTAGCTGTCCCTAGGTCAGGTTCAGAACTTGAATAACTGGAGGCAGCAAAGAGAAGCAGGGATGAAGGAATGCTAGGATGTTTTGGTCTCCTAGGTTCAAGATGGGAAGCAAGAACTCTAATTCTAGTGCTGGAGCCAGATTTCTTTATGACCTTGAGAATGCTTTATGGTCAGTTACCTGGTGTGCTGATGCTATTAAGGTCAGGGTATTTGTGATTAAGTTGAAACTGGTTTCTTAGAATAGTAATCCCTGAAACCTAGAACCAAAAACTTCAGTGTTGATAAAAAAAAAAAAAGATATTTAAGTTAAATCTGTTTGAAGCTACTATGCAAACACACCTTTCAGAAAAAGTAGTCTAGATGTGTATGTAAAGTACAACTTTACAGTTTAGAATATATTAAACTCTGTAACTTGAAAAGTCCCTTAAACTTTAAAACTCACTCATGAGACAAATATTTCTGTCAGTTGTGTAGTGTTCAAGTAGGCACTATTACGGTTACTGTAAGCCCTTCATGAATATGTAATTTAGTCAAAGGAATTGTAAAGTTTTCCTAAAACTTTAAAATGATTACACTAAAACTTTAAAATGATTACACCCATTAGTGGTATTTAAAGTTTTTTTTCCTTGAAACAGATAATGTCACAAGTACAAGCAGAGTTAGGGATAAAAGAGAAATCTATTTGTTCTTGCTCTAAGCTTGAAAACTAGTAAGTATGCAGAAAACCAGCTCTTCTAGAACTTCTACTAAACTTCTTTTAGATTACTGAACCTAGCTGATATCAAAGAGATCTGTGCGCACTTGGAGAAATGTGTGTAGGCTTACAAAGTGACTGGAAACAGAGATGAAGTATAGTAGTGGCTAAAAACATGAACTTGGGCAGCAAGAGGGCAAGAAGACCAGTTTTGGGTTTCAGCTCTGCCATACTTAATCACTGAACAAGTTACTTAAGTCTAAGCCTCTGTTTTTTTAAGAGCACAAAATAATAATACCCATCTCACAGGACTGTTTTGGGAATAAAATGATGTATTTGTGACTTGGCACACGGTAGGCATTCCATAAATGTTGGCTATTATTATTGTTCACTCCTAAGTTCCTATATGATTTTTCTTAAGAGGAAATCATTTGACAGATTCTTTCTCAAATGGCCCCGTGAGATGGAAGGAAATATCCCAGTACTGCCATTGCCACTTTGTACTTGGGGAAGTTAAGGCCACAGGTGAAGGTTAACCAAGGTTCTGGACTCCTGGACCTTAGTTCTTTCTTTCCTTGTGCACTCTAAGCATTGACTGCAATGTCATTATTTCTGATGCTACTTGTCCTGGTGGTGCATAAGCCTGTATTTTGTTTGTGGGTTTAAAAACAAGTAAGTGTTACAGTATTCAACCTGACAGCTGAGAAAGTATAAAAATGCTGAAAGGAATGTATAATTTCTTAACCAGAGTAGGCAAAACTCTTAACTCAGCGTGGTCAACTCTGTCCTACCACCTGGAAGAATCCAAGATTACATCCAGAAAGGGTGACCACTTACTTGTTCTAAATTTTTCCTTGAGGGCATCCAGATCTTCCTTGAGAGCAACTTGCATCCACACCAAGCCAACGCAGGCCACAACACAGGCAGCGAGGATGACAAAAGCACAGAGTGGATAACAGATCTTGCAACATCGTAAATAGTCTCCCCTGATCATAAGAACAAATTGAACCATGAGTACAAAAGTGATTGAGTATAGCTTTTTTAGAAATAGCATACATGTGTCTCCATGCAATTATCGTCTCTAATGAATAACCAGTGGATTTACCAGGGGAGGTAGGGTAATGCACTTTAATATTAATAGTAAGTTGAAAATGATTAAATAATATGACCTATGAAGAGTTCCTCTATTAGGTACAAAGGTTTCAAACTTCACATGAAACAGAGGGAGTTCCTGTGAGCCACAGGAAGCACCTGCAGTCACTGCAGCTCACTGTCATCATCATCAATTCAGGAGGGAGGTCTTTGGAGACAAGTGCAGGTTAGAAAAGCATAAAGACCAGTGCTTTTCTGAAATTCCATCAATGTTACCTATATATTGCTCTCTCTCAAATACACAGTCACTCACTCCAGGGGACCTTGTTTAAGTTTATTAAAACTTATATAAACTTTTGAGCAAGTTTTACTGCAAATGGAATGAAAGAAATAGGATCCATAGGTTTAACTGGACACCTGGTACTCTCTAGCTTATTGGCTCAGAAGTAAGGAAACACAGAAAGAGGCTAGGTTTCACACCAAACTTCAACCAGCCCTCAAGGTCGAAAATAACCCAGCTGGGTAACTATCCCAGGATTAACACTTCATCAGACCTTCACAGCCAAACTCAGAATTGCCCTTAACTACCTAATCTGACAAAGTTCATTAAGAAACCAAACTTTTTCTTTAATAAGACACAGACATTCTAAACAAACAAACAAACAGATTTAATCTCTCTTAGCATCCCAACCTTCTGTTTAGTACTTTCTTCCACATCCTCAGCAGAATCCTCTTTTCTTTTAGAATGTTCCCTGAGAGGGTTCGAGCAGCTTTAAGCCCTTTCCCACCCTGATCCCCAATTCCCAATGTCCTTAAATCTCACTTCTTGATTTGTCTAGTGGTTGCTCCACCTAAAAATGGTTTGGAGGAAAGGTGCCTCTTCTTTTTGTCCCCCACCATGTATCTACTCTCAAGGCTCATACTGTAGCAGTACATCTCTCACCATACTTCACCAAGATTCAGACTCATCGAGAATGCAAAAACATAAATACTGTAATTTGTAGTCTTAAGCTCTTGGTCTCTCCTATTTACTTATTTATCTATTCAAAGGCCTTGTCCTGAAAGCTTCTCTGTCCTTCTGTCTCTATTCCTAGCTTCTTTAGGACTCCCTGGGCTCTTACCACATTCCCCAAATCCACATTTCCACCCTAAATGTGGAGCTCTTCTTTCTACACCTAATGACAGAGATCTTATATACTTCATTCAGGATCTGAACCGCCTTTCCTGAACACCTTTTCTCTCTTTTTGCCTTCCAAGGTCCACACCCTTTTCTCTTGGTAAGGACTTCTTTCTTCTTCCCGTCAATTTGCCCCCTTGGTAGTTCATGGAAATGCCTTCTCCCCATCCCACCCCGCCACCACTGGATCACTCACTTGACAAGGCGAGAGCGATTTCCAACCACACCGAATTCCTCTTCCTCCTCTGAGCTGGACTCAGAATCTGAGTCAGGAGGCTCAGTGCGAAGCAGGCGGTGGCTGCTGGAGCCTTTCTTGGGCTTTTTTCTCCGGCTGTCCCCAGCCAGACCGATCAGTGCATTGAGCTCTTTGCGCTTTTTCATCTTCTTGTGTGGGGTGAGTGGAGCGCCCACTCCTGAGCTGCCAGGTTCGTACCCCACGCCCAATTCTCTTGTTGCCTTGGAGCTGCCTTCCAGGATGGGGAATCCTGGGCCAGAGCCCTCTGGTCACTCCCACCCAGAGGTGGGACTGACCAGATCCGCTGGGAGCTAAGACTGGAGCCCAGAGGAAACTGGAACTCAGATGGGTTGGGGGAAGTTACATAGAGACGGCCAGGGAGCCGGTGATCTAAATGGATAAGACCCGCTGCATGCAGTGTCAGATAGGAGAAAAGGAAAAAGCCAGGCCAAGAACGAGAGATTCTCAACCCTAATAAATAGGCAATATTTCTAAGGACACACGATAGGTGTTTTGGAACTCCGGGGCAGGATTTCCAACGGAGAGGGAAAAGAAACTTGTTCTCGAATTGGAGGAGAGGGAGAGAAGCAAAGCAAGACAGTAGGAACGCGCTAGTGCCTCCCAGGCTGGAGAGGTGGCAACAGAGGGGGCTTCCCAGCCGCTCCAACCCCGACACTGCCGGGGTGCCGAGAAAAAGCCGGCTGGGGTATGGGATGATCACCGATCTCCGGCCTCCGGCCTGAGTTTCAAGGAAGCCCGAGACCGAGGAAGACCCAGAGCCCGGCTCGGAGGGCTCGGCCTGAGAGGAGCCAGTCCCGCGCCTGGGGAGTCCCCAGCCCCGCTGTGTGGGCCTGGGGGGCGCGGTACTGAGGGCGACAGCGGCTCAGCCCACCTGAAGCGCTCCCGCCCAGAGTTTGAGGTGTTCCGGCACGGGAGACTTTCGGCAACTCACACGCGCCGCCCCCACTCCCGCCGCGACTCCGGCCCCCGCTCCGGTTCCGGTCGCGGCTGCTCCCGACGCGCTGGCAGCGGCGGAGGCGGCCGCGGGCTCCAGACCCGGGCCATAGCTCCAGCCCCTGCTCACTTCCCCTTTGGCAGCGGCCGCCAGCTCCGCCTGCCAGTAAGCCGCACCTCCATTGGTCGCCCGTCGGGTGACGTCATGCCGGGGGCGCGAGTGGCGGCGGGGAGGCTGGGCGTTAAAGGGGCCCTGACTTAGGCGAGGGCTGAGTCCCCCGGCCGGTTAGAGAGGCTCCGCCCCCAGGATGGCCGCCTGGGACCTGCAGCAGGCTAGGGCAGGGGCCGAGTTTTGTTTGTGGAGGAGCGGAGGCGGGGACAGGCGAAACACCCAGCTCTTCGACCTGCTTCGGAAGTTCGTCAGCCTACCCAGTCCTCAGTTGTAAACTGGACTAACCCAGCCTAGAGGCTCCGCCCCTCTGACTCGCAGGCTGTTTATTAAAAGTTTAGGCGTTTCCGATTAGTGACCTGGTCGAACACATTCATTCATTCAGTAAATATTTATTGAGAGTTTTCTGCGTGTCAGGAGCTGTTCTGAGCCGGGGATACAGCAATGAACAAAATAACCACTGTCCTCTCCTTCGTGTATAGGGTCGCCGGATTTAGCAAATAAAAATACAAAACACCCAATAAAGTTCGAATTTCAGATAAACAGCGAATAATTTTTTAGTACAAGTAGATCCCATGCAACTTCTGGAACATCCTCATACTAAAAAAAAAAATTATTCGTTATCTGAAATTCAAGCTTAACTGGGCATCTTGTTATTTTATCTGCCAGTCTATTCCTGCAGCTTACAAGCTAGTGGGAGGGAGGCAACAACAGGCAAACATATTAAAGGTCAGGAGGTGATAAGTGTTATGAGGAAAACTGAAACATGATAAGGTGATGGGAGTGTCTCTGTAATAAGGGTACATTTGGTCAGAGATCTGAAGGAAGCAAGGGATTGAATTGTGTAATGGCTGCAGGAAGGAGTGACCGGGAAGATGTGGGGTGGTTGGACCTGAAGAGCAAGGAGGAGAGTGGTAGGAAAGGAGGTCAGAGGAGTAGCAGGGGCCACGGCCTGTATGGCCTTATGGAACATTATAAGGATTTTGGGAAACCATTGGAGACCTTAAGCTGGGAAGGGGCATACTCTGGCTTTTTAGTTTTTGAGAAGATCACCCTGGCTACTGTGTGGAAAAAAGAACCAGGGACAGTGAAAGACACAGGAGACCAATTTATTACAGTCTGGCTAGAGATCATGATGATAGATTAGGTTGGCAGTTGTGGAGATGGTGAGCATTCTGAATGCTTCTTGAAGGTAAAGCTGATGCACTAGACGAAAGGTCTGAAAAAAGTCATGGATGACTCTGGGGTTTGGAGTGGAACATCTGGAAGAAGGGAATTGTTATTTACTGAGATGAGGAAGAGAAGGTTTGGGGCAAGCTTGAGAAGCCAATTTGATATTGAAATGGAGTAGGTTATTTGGTGTATCCACTGGGAGTTCTGAGCAGAGGTTGGGGCCTGAAATATAAATTGGGGAGCCATCAGATGTAAATGACATTTAAAGCAAAGTGCTTAGAGCTACTTGGAATAAAGGCACTTAAAGTAATTTTTATACACACATTCTTAGTGTTGCAACTACACTGTCTTTGTCTGAGGGTCTTTGTCCAAGGCTTAGGCCTGTGTCTGGTTTGTCTTTAAGTGTCTAGCCCAGAGATACGCACCTAACAACAATGACCCAATAAATATGTGATGACTACATGAGTGGGCAGTGTTGCATTGGGGTATGAATGGAGTTTTGGAATCAAGAATAGGATTAAATTATGCTTCTAATACTAGTTCTGTCCGTATGGAGCTTCTCTGAGCTTCAATTTTTCCCTCTGTAGAATGAAGATAAGCTCTTACTTCGCAGAACAGACAAATGAGAAGAAGCTTGTGAAAGTGCTTTGAGCCCCAAAGCATGCTGCAGTTGTTCCACTGTATTGTTCCCTTTTGTTTCTGGAGCTTCACTGCCCAATATAGTAGCCACTAGCCACATATACAATTTAAATTTACATGAGACTTAATTAAAATGAAATAAAACATTTAAATTAGTTCTTCAGTATCACTGGCCACTGCGCCCAGTAACCATATGTAGATAGTGGCTACCAAGCAGCACAGAATAGAACAATGCCATCATCACAGAAAGTTTTATTGGACAACTCTGCACTAGTACTTTCCTGAAGGACTGAGGATGAACAAGTAAGGGTCCTGACTTCAGGAACCATTTCACAAACACATCCTGTGGTCACCAGAAGCCCCAGGCAAGAAAGGTGGCTGGCTCAGGGTGGGTGGCCCTCATGTTGTAGATGCTACCTCCTTACCAAGGGAACCAGGGGCTGAGGAACCCAGGGGAGTAGGGCAGGCAAGAGATGCAGCATCCCAGCTGCAATGCCTTCTGGTCAGCCAAACCCTGCCCTCTCTTCAGATGGAGCCTCTCCCAGGACTGGCCAGTGGGCTGGTCATGGGTGGGGAGGCTGGAGGAGTCAAGTTGACAAATAAGAGGATGCTCTGCTGGATCTGTCTCTTAGACCCCTATCTGCCTGTTGTCTATGATTTGTAGATGACACCACTCCTGTGTTGGGTAAACATCCCACAGAATGCTGAGTCACCCTTTGAAAGCTGCTGGCCAGGTATTTCTTTTCTTGCAGGAGCCCTTGAATGCTTCTCTGGCCTCCTCCCTCAAACCTGGGACTCTCCCACACCAGGACTCCCCAAAGTTGTGACTAATTTTCTCCTTTGAGGAGGTTTGTTTTATGACCCTGTGCTTGTAGAGAGCTCTGTTAACCTATTTGAAACTTGCCTGAAATACAGTGTGAACTTGGGAAGTCACTTTACAGTTCTGGTGCTTTGGTGTTTCTCTCTGTAAAATCAGGATAATAATATTCCTTACCCAGCCTTCTGCTCAAGTTTGTTTGGGAGAGGGAGCAGCATGAAGGTGCTTTATATGCTGTGAAGTGTCACAGCGGTGGATTATTGTTACGTGCTGAATACTCCTGGCAGCTTTGTGGGGAAGGTGGGAGAAGAAACAAACGAACATTTGTAAATACTTAAGAATCATGCATTTTTGTGGTCATCCTCACTGCAATAAATTAATCCTCACTAGTCAAGCATCTTATCCTTGCTTTAACTAGGCAGAAAATTGATGCTCAGAGACTGAAAGAGTCTTGCCCAGGGACATACAGCGAATCAGAGGCAGATGCTGGGGCTTGAATCTGGATCTGTCCGCCTCTGAAGCCTGAGTTCTGCACCCAATGCCCAGCACCATGCTGGCAAAGCCCGCTGCAAAGGGCCTTTGTCTGCTGCGCATCTGGAAAGGGACCACCAGCTGAAGCCTCTCAACTCTCCTGGAATGGCTTCACCTCCTTCCCCAAGCCCCTTCCCATTCTTTTTGCTGCTGTGCTGGCAGCTGCATCCTGTACCCTGATGAGGGGCCTAAGGACAATGGGAAGGGGAAGGACTGGGTGGTAAGAAAAGGGCTAAGCACCAAGCTAAACAATGGCTTCTCTCTCGGTGGGTTCCAAGCAGCCGGAAGCAGCAGCTGGTTCCCAGCATTATTGTCAGTGGGGGTGAGAGCTGCCCCTTCTGTGATTCTCCTTCTATTCCAGGCACAGTCTCTTCTGAATTGTGGTAAGCTTTTGGGCCACTGCTAAGCAGTTTCCCCACCTGTAAACTGTGTCTTTAGCATTCAGAATAGGACCCAGAGGTGGGGGCAGGGGGAGAGGGGAACCTCAGGGGCTGTTTACTGAATTAAATTAGTGGAGTAGATGAGACTCTAAAAAGTTTCCAGGCATAGTCCTTTATCTTGGAGACCCCAGTCCGTCCATCCATCCATCCATTTGTCCATTCATCCAACAAATCTACCCAAGTGAACTCCTACTGTGTGTGAGGTTCTGTGTGAGGCCCAGAAGTACACCAATAATACTCAGGCTCTGTCCTGCAAGAGTTCCCAGGAAACAGGCCCTCTCCCCCAGGGTTAATGCCATGGAAAGCTTTATAGTGGGAGTGTGGAGCTGTGGGGTGGGGGGTAGGGAGGTGAAAGCACGTCTGGAGTGACTAGATTTATTTTAAGACGAGAACAATAATCCTGGGAGGAAAGAACCTGTATGTGGCTTCCAGCCCACCTGCCCCTGCCTCCACTCCTGCCCCATTCCCCTGGGGCTTGAGCTGGAGAGGAGGCTGCAGCTGGCTGTGGAAGGAGCTGGGGCCAGACCACTGGGTTTGAATCTCGGCCTCTCCACTCACTAGCTGTGTGACTGAGGCAAGTTCCTTTTCCTCTCTGAGCCTGTTTTCTCAACTGTAAATTGGAACTAACAATGCTCATCTCCTGGCAATGCCTGTGGTAAGGATTGAACTTAAATGGTGGGTATTAAAGGGCTTCAAGGGAATTGCTAAGTGCATAAGTGGACAGGAAGGCCAGAAAATGGACCTTTGAGAAATCCAGTTTGAACCAGGGAATTTAAACAGTACACGGTGGGAGAGAGGTGATTGGGTCATGAAAGGAGGGCTCTTTAACCAAGGAAGGGCCTGGAAAGTGTGCGTGTGTGCGCACGTGCACGCCCGTGCTCTCTCCATCAAGGCTAGGTGTTTGTGGATGAAAGAATAAATAGTGGGGGATGCTGAGGGATACCTAGGGAAGGCTGCCTGGACCCTCCTGTATTCTTTTCCGAGGGAGCAGCACTGGCTCTGTGTGTCTAAGTTATGCAGCGACAGCTCCATCTGATACCAGCTCTTCCTTTCTTGAGATACCGGCACTAGGGAGACAGTAAAGACAGGCACAACTTTGTGCTGCCCTCTGCTGGCTTTCTGGACAACCACACTTCTTAGATGGGACAATTTCTATTCATACACAATGACAGCTCCCTGTGTCCAGCCCTGTGTTGGATGGTGGGGACACACAGATAAACAAAATCATATTTCTGCTGTTTAAGAGCTCCTAGTGTCTGTGTGTGTGAGAGAGAGAGAGAAAGAGAAAGAGAGAGAGACAG